TATCTCTTCCTCTCCCTCTTTTGTACACAGGTAGAAAAGCGATAAAGAACGAAGAGACGAAAGGAGCTGGAGGGCGCGAAGGAGAAAGAGAATATAACAACTCGCAGGCACGGATTCACGCGTGGGACGGAGAGAAGAAGATGGAAAGGATGAGGACCCTTTCGCTCTCAACTATGGTCCTTTGAATCGGCAGTGGCCTGTGTTTGCCTGTGTTTGCCTATAATGGAAAATTTTTGACTCTCGAATGACTGTCTCGACTAAAGAAACTGAGTGTATCTTTCGGTCATTTCTGACTAATAATCCAGAAATAATCCTTTTAACAGATATTTTTCTTCTAACGGATTTTCGCATATGTGAAAACACTCCTAATTTACTTGACGTATTTTAAGCAACAATATTTATTTAAAGTATTATTCCTAATATATTTTCGAGATTTGATGAATTTTAATTTATCGCTAAATTCTGATCAATATCGCACACAGACAAAGAAAAAACAATATGGAGTATCTAAAAATTTAACCAAATACAGATCTGAAAATATTGTTGAGCCACTGAAATTACAATAATTACATCGAATTACAAATAGCAATATTTTTCTTATTATTTCGAATTATTCGATTATTTCTTATTCTTATTCTTTATTTTAAATTATGGATCGTTATTAGCGATTCCGTATCCTCTCTTTCTTTTTTGCTCCACATGTTTTTGTTTGCTTTTTCCTTCTCTCATTCATCGTGGTTAATTTTATAAAGCGAATAATGGATACGTTTGTAATTCGTAACGAGGCAACATCGCGCCGCGCTCTCGCGAAGCTACCGAGGCTAGAAGAGACGCTCGCGCTCGAGAGATGAACGTGATTGTCTGAAACGTACATTCTCGTACACGCATATGTACCATTCTAAACATCCGTGACACGTAACGAGGTCTTCTAGCAGCGCCTCATATTCATCGGCAGGCGTATACATGCGGTTAGAATGTAACCAGTGTTGTCAGACCTGAGAATTTTCTATTGGGCATAAAGAGACGCCAAGCTTATTGTTCTCCTGACAACAATACTTCAAGATCCAAAAATGTGAAATTCTTGGAATACACAGTTTTACTATAATAATAACTTTGTTCTTTTTCTGTGAGCTTTCTGTGACGTTTTCACTTGAAATGGCAAAATTAAATAATTAATGATTTCTAAATTTTCGTACGATTTTCGTATATTTATGAATACGTCTTCCTTCTTTTTTGAATGACATTAAAATTTATGGGAATCTTGAATCTTAAAGAGAACTCTTTTTCCTATATATTTAATACCAACAATTTTGAAAAGAAATAGAAATAATTTCCAGAGTTTTCTTTTCCAAATATAAAAATCGAAACTATCGAGTAGAAACTTGAATAGATTATTGCAAAGCTATATAGGAAAAATTCTTTTCAATTTCATTTTATCAGCTTCATAAATATTTCTTACTATCTTAATCAAGCACCTTCGTTTAATAGACGCGAAACATGCGCAGCTTAAACGTGAAACTCCCGTTTCGACGTTCTCGATCTACGTCTGCTGGACCGGCTAAGAAAGAGAGAGAGAGAGAGAGAGAGAGAGAGAGAGAGAGAGAGAGAGAGAGAAGAAGAGCGTAGTAG